ACTATCCATTTTCAAATAAGAAATTTTACAAAATATGGCTTATGCCTAATTTTCAATCATTAGTTATTAATTAAAACAAAATTAGTTATTTTCTTTTTTATTTATTTTTATTTTTATTCATTTATAAATAATTATAAAGCTAATATTCTTTTTATACAAAAAATTAATTTCCATCTTATTACCGAAAAAATGTTTCGATAAATTTCTTACTTAGTATAAAAAGTAACTCAAAATTATATACAATTAAATATATAATCAGAGAAAAATATTGACAGCTTTTCCTTATTTTGTAATTAACTTTTTTTGAACATAACAATAAAAAATATTATGTTTTTTTTTAGCTTCTTGCATCTTTTTTCTTTTTCCTTCGATGTTGAAGAAAAAAAAAAGAAAAAAATGAATACAAGAAGTTCAAAGAAGAAGCTTATTATATGTATAACTATCTTAAAAATCTCTGCAAAAACACTATTTAATTTAAATTGTCAGAGTACCTAGGCTCTAGATTCTAGAACATGCTCGCACGAATACGTCAATAACTTTAAATAATTATACATCTCTTTAATGATCATGTCAATAACCTCGTAATTCCGTGCACTTGCGTTTTCCTCGTTGCAGAACATTTTCGACACGTGTCTCATTTCGCGTCCTACATAAAGTACGTGACAATTCTTCATGATTGGCCTATCATTCAGCGACATGCCACGCGACACACGTTTTTTTTTATTTCACAACGAGCTGTTTGTAATTCTGCAAACATCTGCACAAATTTTGTTCGCGCCTGTCGACCTTGCGCATCGTCTGCGTGCCCGTTTGAAGGCGATGTGTGTTTTACCGATGTACCGATCAAGTCGATTTATCGTGCCTTCTTGATAAATCTAGGAAGGCTAACGTTCGTACAAACGACAGTTCCACGGCGGCGTGAAACCGTTCTTGCTTTCACGCGTGCGATTCGCCGCCATGGTTCTTCCGTTCATGCGCTGCGAGTATTTCGCGCGCGTGATCGGGACAGCTGTAATAACGTGTATGCAGGCACTTGTTGCAACAAACGTCATGCCTGGGGCGATAACCGTGAAGCATGAAAATATTTATGCTCTCGTTTCACTTTTGTGCATTGTTAAAATGTACACGTCACGAAATATTCCTATGTTCCGCGTAGTCATTATCAAATCCTAAGCAGAACCATCAGCAAAGATATTTCTTTTGTTCTATAGCAAAAATCTCAAATATAACTAAAAAAGCTGCAGAAGCGTATTAAAACAGCAAGAAATAAATAGCAGAGGAGTTTTGAGATTAAAAAATGACGATAAAATTCGTGTCGATTTAATCTTCGGAAGAAATCAGGAAAATTGGCCCTTAGCCATGCACGATGTACGTGCACAAGCATCTCTTCATAGAGAACGCGGCTGAAATCGTTCTAATCGCATCATTAACCTCGTAACAGATTATTGCTCTACGTGTGAGAATTTACCAGCGCGATCTTTATCAACGCACTGGAAAAGCAGGTAAGAGGATTTTCTATTCCTGGATATCAGGTATGTATTTATAGCATGTTCCGGGGGCTCTCCCGGGTATTTATAGATCGGCGATCGTGCTGCTTCCTTTTGCCAGCAGCACCGGTAGGCGGATAAGAAAGCTGGTATGGGTCATCGCGGAAGATTGTAACGAGAAAAAGGAGTGCTACGCGTTTCGCTTCATCTAAAGGAGCAAAACGCAATGAAATACTCCAGGATTGTTCACTCTGTATTAAAAATAGCATAGGTACGAATTATTTTCTCATTTAGATATGTAACCATCCACCGGATACGAATAAATCATCACTTCGTTCATAATGGAAGAAATGTGATAAATGCGAAGAAGTGATCGAAAAACCATCGAAATAAGGAACTATATGCGATTTTAAGACTCACAGAGAAACATGTAATAGCTAGACATTCCTTTCTCCGCTGATCGTAATTTCTGTCAAGAGTCTTACAGATTACACGCATAGGCCGCTCTCGTTTGTACGCTACAGCGAAAGATTTTCTATTCCTGGACATTCCTGCGTATTTATAGACCAGCTGCTGTCGTCTTTCCTTTAAGTACTGCAATGTTGTGGTATAATGCACATAGGAAAGCGAGATCTTACGTGAAAGCCGTTAAGGCCGTTTCCACTGAGAGGTGCACGGAGAGAAACTGAGACTAGGGAGCATCTACTAATACCACAGTGTCTAAAGGTCGTAGAAATGTCAACAAACGGGCTTTGACAAGGCCGCGAATGGCAATAGGATAGTGCTATTGGATTTTTGTGAGTATTACAAAACCCACCAAGTCGCATTCGATCTTGAAACTTTATTATATCATTTAAATTAAGAAATTTTTTTAAGCATAGATATATATTTATTAATTTTGTCTACAAGATACGTAGCATAGCTGAAAAAAATTGTCTTTCATCCATAAAATTCAAATAAATAATCGTTTTTTGTTGACTTTTAGTTAGTTATGATATGAAATTCTGTAGTAAATTTTCAAGAATATTTTTGTAATATCTGTATATTCGATCTCTTCAGGAATAAAAATAACTTTATATAAATTTTTATATAAAAAATTTTAATCTTACATTCAACAATATAAATAGAGAAATAATTTAATTCGCCAGCTCATTGATATACATTTCTCCGCCAGTCATTCATATCGTCGGCAGTAGTTAATGTCATGCGAATGACTTAGAACACAATTAACACATCTGTTTTATGGTTTCTTTGGCTATTATCCAGACAAACAAAAAAAGAATTATGTGCGTGCACAAAAGTGTGATATTTCTTAATTTAAAAACAATGCAATTTTTATTTTCACTTTTTTTCTATTTTTCTTCCATTTGTTATTTTTATAAGCGAGTCATAAGTTTTGTGTTTATTTTACGACTTGATTATGTTTGAAAAATGATTGTATATACATAATGAGCAATTATTGGCATATCAATATGATTGAACAAATACTATTTAATCAAGTGATTCTGCTTGTTATTCTTTCAGAAATTTTTTAGCAATCAGTTTTTGCACCCAAATATTTCGGATCATTTCCACCGAAATCATACGTCATCTCCCATTACTTTCATATCTGCATCAGCGTTCCAAAAAATTTCCAGGTTGCATAACATTTAATTTCATACGTAAACCTCGACACTGAATCGCGCAGACGCTCTTGACAAGCATTGATGTCACCGATTACACCGATTTACGAGAATGATTATATAATGACTTAATCACGAATAAAAAATTTTGAAGAAATAATTATATGCGATAATTAATAATGTTTATATTGCAGTTAGAATAAATAAAGAAATTTGATTTTAAGGTTAAATTCTATTTCAATACAATCAAATTTCTGAAATTTTGCTGGGATTAACATAAAGTATTCTATCATTCTTAGCAAATAAAATACTTTTTTAAACGTTCAATATTATCAGTAATAAAATGCCATAAAAAAATATTTCAAAATATTATATATTTGTAAAATGATAATATTTAAACTTATCTGATTAATAATTATGTTTAACAATTAAAAATAATATGTGTTGTCTTTTATATTAAAAAAAATTTTGTTACTAAAATCGAGATGACGGGAATCTAATGTCACTACTCGATTTTTCTCTCATCACACGTTCTTTTTAAATTAAATAAAAACACCTGTGGGAAAGATGTCACATAATTTATATTATGTTTCATTCATTCGAAAGATACGACCTCGATGACATCGCGATGTTTCTGTTCTCTGAACATATGATAGATTCATATGTGCGTAAGAGTGATTCGATTAAACATGTGTCCGACAACGTTGTCATGTCAATCCCTCTAGTATAAACATTACCATTGTTATCCATTGCGTGGCAGATAAGCCATACGCAGGCCCGCACGGCGTGTAGCAGTGCAATAATTTTCAGTGGCGATATATTCCGGACACAGTGGCCGTGCGCGCCGTTACGTTTTAAAATCGATGTATCGGCGACCTTATTTCCTTAAAACGCGCGAGCCAAGCATTGACCGAACGCCATTTCTGTGCTAGCAGGTTTTACGTGCTTCGCTACTATGATTCGAATCAGTCGCGTTTTCTGTGCGGCTAAAAAATTCGGGACGCTTCCGATCTCAGTTTTACTTAAATTGGCGCTGCTAATTCTTTGACAGATTCTGAAACACGATTAGGTGATTGGTGAATCAGCGAACATTCTTTTGGTAGCCGTTTATTAGTAGCCGAATGCTAGTGTACTTAACGGATGTCTTCCTATTTTCGTTATGATTATTTGCCTTGCTGCAGGATATTTGTTCTTTCTTCTTTCTATGAAACTAAGCTATAAATCGAGAGCGCGGCACATTGAGTCGAAAGTTAAACATTGCACAACGATCAGCCGGTCGTTATAGCGCAATGTCTTCGTCTTACATGGCATACCGATAATGTTCAGACGTCTAGAAGCGCGATCCAATTTTGTGGACCATTTTGTATCAAAAATACATGATGAAACTTTGGTCCTTCGATACATTTCAATGTCCTTTGACAAATTCATATCACAAAACCGCTACATTTTGCAATAATCGCGTAATCGCGATGTCGATAATTAATCGCATGTTCAAGTTTCAATTTAAAATACTATCACCATAATTTATGCAACTTGGCGAAAGTAAAAGTAGATCCTGCAATCTTTGGTAACGATTATAAGTGATAAAAAATTTAGGAAAGCAAATTATTTGTAAATAGAACATCAAGAAAATTCGAGCTAAATCAACTGCGAGTGAATTAGCACAAAAATGAAACAACAAACTTATTTGCTTTCGATAAACGATTAGTATCGAGAAGTTCGCGGAAAGCAATTCTTGCCAAGGCTCCATGCGGCTATTACCGGTCCCACCTGTCAGCTGCCAGCGAGTTGACAGCTCCGATGCCTGCGTCAAGCGTAGACCGCAAAAAAACTGCATACATTCATTCAACATATTGAAACGAGTTGGCGTTAAGTCGGTGGCAAGACTCACTTGATTAGAATCCTCCAGAAGCAGCCAAAGCTGGAGCCGTTCGGCACTTCGCTCGCGTACGATATGGTCATTTCCCGTCTGACTGCGCGCGCGCAATCTCCTTCCTGAGTCGCTACCCTCTTCTTCCTTCGCCGATGCTGTTTCTTCTTCTTCTGTAGATGATCTGGTCTCTCGCACCGTGTCGTTGGTGTTTCCGGTGGAGACGCTGCACACTCGCGCACATGCGGCGCGCGGGCCGCCGATACTCAAAGTCCGATCTTTGGCCGATATGACGGAAGTGATTCGAAGAAAATTGGCACCGAAAGCTACCTGGTCTGTCGCAGTGGATTTACCATCAGGAAGATCTATAATGCGCGAATGGTTGAAACCAGCTGACCAGGCGGATCGACTGTCTACTGACTGAGCTCCACTAAGGACGGCGGGACCAACGGAGAACGGGGCCCGGCTGTGCCTCCACCTCCACCTGAGAGCCAGGGATGTGAACATCACTCGTAGAACCCATCTTGCAGGTGAGTTTGCTTACCAAGTGTTTCGAGTTGGACTAAACTTAAACCAGACGGAGAAAGAAGCAAGTAACGAAATGTATAAATGTCTTCATGTTTTTGCGAGATGTCATTTTGAAAACGTTTTTATGCAGATGATGTTTTATGCACGTTTGCAAGGATAATTTCAAAATTGCGAAGACTTTAAATTTGCATTAAACGCAAGAATGTTAGATACCAAATAAAATAATAAAATAATTATTGGTATATAAAATAATTATTTCAATTGTCCAATTAAATTTTCTGTTAATCTTCCAAATATTTATTTTGCTATTTTTTTTATCTTAAAAATAGATACGTATGCATAATGTATGTCCAATGTAAACTTGATAATGATATAAACGTCGAACAAAAATAAAGATATTTAAAATATAATATAAATTAAAATATCAATTACAGAAAAATTAGAAAAAACGTCAGATATGTCAAATCAACAGATTTATTACCATGAATTTTATGATTGAGAAATAAGGATTAGAATAAAAATTTTGTGTCAGACAAACTATTGATTTAGAATTAACATGTGTCATGTGTATAATATTAATCATAACTTAGTTGGCAAGCAGTAAATGTTGAGTGGCGATTTCATTTCTATGCTTGTCATATTCATTGAATGACACGTCACTCCATCTAATTAGATGCTGGTTCAGATCAATCCTAGGTCACATCTGTTATTCGGAATCAACTAGGAATTTGTGTATCTCGTCGCAAGCACTTATGACATATGATTTACAGAGAATTCCTCTTTCAAAATCAATGACACGCCTGGCCTTTCAAGTGGATTTGCAGCGAGTAAAAGGGAAACGGTTCAAAGTGCCGCTCGCCTCCTCAATGATATTAATATTGCTAGGATTTTTCACATTTTATTACTCCTTGTTGAATTAATTTGTATCCTCCTTTCATCATCAACCGTATCATTATTATTAGCATATGTAATTAAGTGTATCCGACAGTAAATCAGAATGCGCAATCGGTTACGATACTTTCTTCAAGAATAGATCGGACTGTCTTACGGCCCTGTATGATTTAAACCTGCGTTTAAACGCAGGTGGATGCAGGTATACTCGCGAGTATCGAACACTTCAAAACGCCATCTTGCGCACGGCTTTCGCATCCTTCTCTCACCTTGCCGTGGCCTAGCCTGCGGCGTATTCATGGCCTTCTGGTACCATCCACCGGTCACCTTTCGCTCGTTCACGTGTTAGGAGAATATGACATGCGTATTCTTACCCGATTTCTCGAAGTACCAATGGATATGTGCAACAGGAAAACCCCGAAAAAACACCAACTGTTTACCGAAAGACTCTACTCGGAAGAGTTACAAGAGATTCGAGTTACGCAAACAAAACCCCCCATGAACTAAATATTTCCAGATGTTACAAAATAGATCATTGACGTCATTAACTTCTTGGATCCGAGTTAGAACCTGAAAGATCGTTTGCGAGAGAATATCATCATTCCCCAAGATTATTCTGACGGTCCAAATTATCATGGAATTCGAGGGGACGTTATTCGGAGAATCTGCAGGTAACATCCGTTCTAATTTGCATAAATTAGCAATCGGAATAATCGCGATTGCCGTGTCTTTCTGTACGAGTCAGAAAAGGATTCGATTAAGTGATAAACGATTTTGCAGTAGCAATCGTAACAAGACGAAGCACTAGGACAAGCTACGTATAATTTATTACACTCGCACTTTTTACAAGAAATTAAAAACGTTTGCACGATCTCTTTTCATACACTGCTACTCAAGATTTAATACTGATGTCCTTCTGCACATTATATACGCTATTCGCCGAACTTTGGAACTGCTTTTTCTCGTATTCAGTCATGTGCATTCGTATTATCTGCGTGATACCATTTTCGCCAATCGCACAAGGTAAAGATAGGAACATTTCGTGACCTACATCATGATGACCCTAACAAAATAATATTGATTAATATAACATATTACAAACTTATATGCCAATTTAGGAGTAACTTTTTTTAATACTTATAAAGAATTACTTATATTTTATTTAAATATATTTTGTACGTTTCCAATTTTTCAAAGTACATAAAGATTTGTGAGATTAAATATCAACTATCAATATCAACTAAATGAAGTCATTATCGTGAATAAAATATTTTTGGAATAAAAGTCAAAAGCGTGTGTGTGATAACATATTTATTAATTTATACCTGCACTAAAGTTGAAACTGGTATAATCGTTTGTGTATTGCGTAATATTGCTATTATGATGTCGGCTGCAGAAAGTCCAATGGCTGTATTCGAATATCCTTTTAAACACCGCACCATGGCACCTCTGAAAAAAGATATTAAATTGTAATATATTAAAAAACTGTTACACAAAAATATTTTTTTGATAATGCTATTTAATTATAAGAACTATGTAAATGTTTATTAGATATCATATAGCATTATATAATATAATTAAATATTATTTATGGTGTACAAATTTCTAAGATGCTTAAATCTTCATGGAAAAGAAATTGAACTTTTTACAAATATGCTATTAATTATATAATTAATTGATATTATTGATATATATGTATAAGAATTAACAATTTCTAAAATATTATTAAACTTACAGTTTTATTACATCGTTTGATATTTCAATCCATCTTTCATCGTCTGTCTCCAGACCAATATTTGGAATAATATCGCGAAACTGCACTCCCGCAACATTTACTCCAGACCAGAGCGGAACTAGGAAACGTGAATGATAGATCGGTCTTAATGCATAACATCACCTTTCTCTCTGTGTCAAATGTCAAAGATCGATCGATTGAGCTCACC